TCAATCTAGTCGACCTCTTGCTGTAAATGATCGACCATTTTGTTAATGACCACCATCAAGTGGTCGACCTATATACCTTTACGGTAGACCATGTTGCTTCTGACGCTTACGAAAAGGGCGATTGAGGTTATTGTGGTCGACCAAAAATAACAATTTAAACTACAAATGGTTGACCATATGATCTTTGAGGTCGACCGCGATGAGTCCTCATGGTGCCCAAATTAGTCAATTCGGTCGACCGCTGTTACGATTAGGTCGACCGAAATGTCCATGTTACGGTGACATGCATGTCACCATAGGCACACCCAAATTATCCTCAAAAACCAATTATCGTTGCGGAAAAGACTTGACCCTTGAGGAAAAAACTTGACGAAAAGTTTATGTAAAAGAGGAAAAACTATTTCTAAGAAAATTATTTTGTCAGTTTAAGTATTTGTGAGAATATTTTTTTTGTAAGCAACAATATTTTTTGTTAATAACACATTGGAATTTCCATCCCCAAAATACCATTATGTGTTTTTGTTGTGATGACTTGTTTATTGTCAGAAAAGGTTGTATAATTAGGCGAGATTTTTTGTTCCCAAAATACCCTTTTGTTATTTCTGACGAGTAAAATTCCTCATGAATGGAGAACTCCTCAGAAATAAAATTATTACCGACACAATGGTTTCGTCGGAACACTAAATAAACTACAAGAAAAAGGCACATTAACGACAGAAAAATCTATCGTTTTGAAGCAATTATCCGTCGTTGCTAGCTATCAACGACGACAAATTTAACGTTGTTGAATGGGTGTGTTGTTAATAATAGCAACGACGGAATCTTGCATCTGTTGTTGGTAATTGCAACGACGGAACACAATTCGTCGTTGGTTTATAACTTTTAATGATGAAACAACAACTAATTCTATTGTTATTATCGGCCATCAGAAAAAGCAGAGAGAACATTGGCATACAGAAACTAATTATATTGGTAGTATTTTATAAATAAAAAAATATGAAAGTACCTTGGCATACAAACCTATGCCAATGAGATTCTGAATTGCTATTCGTCGCCCTAAAATTCAAATTTTATCGCCCTAAAATGCACCAAATTGACAATTTTACCCTTTCACCCCAATTTCCCTAAACAAACAATCCGTTATCCTGCTAACCGTCGCCGACATCAACCACGACGCTGCTGTCACTGTGGGATTCTTCACTCCGGCAGCTGCCCACCTCAACCTAACCGCTGCTGGTGCTTGCCGCTGGGATCGAGCCAGAGGAGTAAGAAGACGAAGAAGAACACCGCCGCCTAACTCCTTTGTCCTGCTGCTGATAATTATTCTCTCCAGCCCACTGGCCACCTAAATCCAACCATCGCCGCTTGCCTACTGCTGATGCCGAATTTTTCTATTGGTAAATTATCTTTGCATCATAAATAAAATTGTAGTGGGTTGGTTTGCATAGCCGTAGGGCCTGCCGATGAAGAAGAAATGGTGTAGAGTACAAGAAGTGTGCATTTGTTTTTTTGTTTCCAGGCGCCGGAAGGGTGAAAATCCATCTCCGGCGTGATTGGGTTTTCAATTTTTTTGTTTTGTTATTTTGGTGTATTTGTAACCTGTAATTCATTAATTTGTTTTTTGATATTTTATTTTGTTATTGAGTATAGTTGTATGGGTTTGTTTTAGTGTTTATATAAATTTTGAAAGATAAGAATTAAGTTAAGGTTATTTAAGTCATTTTAATAAAAGTTAGGACGACGAATAAAGTGTTTTAGGGCGACGAATAGCAATGCCCATGAGATTTCTTCCCCCTCTGCCATTCTGCTTGCGGCTGTTCGAGTTTTGTGTATTTCATGCTTCTTTTCTCTCTGATATGGCAGAAGCGCGGTGCAATTATCTGGAGGCCTGAAATTGGTTTGTGCGAGAGAGGATAAGAGATTCTCAGTTCGATTGTTACTGTCACCGTCTTAACCTGGGAAGTTCTTGATTCACAGGAGGGAAATCAAAGTGGCCGACTCATCAATTCGCTAATTTCTAGCCGACTATCATCTGGGCAACATCATTTACAAAATTGATATGGAAAACTTTGAGTGGGTTAAGATTGGAATGTCCATTGGAAAACACAGTAATCGTGGTATTACTCTCAACGAAATGCAGAATCAGCAAATTGAGATTATTAGCAGCTCGATTCATTTTGAAGATGTTCCGTTTGATTTGACATAATAAAGCAAACCATAGATAAAAGTTTATTTGAACCTTTGGTGTGGTTGGTAGTCATTGGATGTTTTGGTAGCATGCCCATTCCATGAGATTCATAGTTCAGTTTGAATTTATAGAATCTTCGAATGAGAACTGCAAAGTTATGCAGGGCCATATGTTGGATTCATATTGTAGCTTATGTGGAGATCATTCTTCTTTAGAGAGCTCAATCTATCATGAAATTTCTTCTATTCATCTACTTGATTGAGCTGCTAATGTTCTTTCAAAATTGATAAACTTTTCCTTAGATTAGATCTTTTATGTGCTAGATAATTGTTTCTGGTATTCTCCATTGTTTGTCTTCTGTATTTTATCTGCTCTATTAGCTTCTGCTAACATACTAAACATAATCCCTTCTTTCCACAGGAAACTGTTTAACAGGCTATTAAGTTGGGTCTCAATGCTATTATTCTCTCATTATATTGATTGCAAGGCTGATACTACAATGGGAACCTATGATATTGCTCTAAAGCTGGGGAAAATGTGATATATCATAGGTCTTGATTCTTCCTTTTCTATCGGATGTCCCCGAAGGGACGTCTTGATTCTTCCTTTACATCTGTAATTTGTTGTCATCAATTCCATTCGGATTTTGTTCCCCATATGTATAGGTAGAACTAAATGGACTACGGAGTTATGAAATGCAGGAACTTTCGAATGTCGAATGATTGACAGACATTGCACTTACCATGAAAGCTTGCAGTACCAGGTGAAAATCACAACTTGAGAAGGTATAAACTTCTGCAGAGCTACCCGAAATAAAGATATAGTGTTCTCTCTCGGATAAGAATTAAGGTGCAAAGCCCTATTAAGAGTGAAAGCATACTTGATAAATGGTCTAATTTCTTCTGAACTTTGATAATGTTGTGGAGGTTGCATTTTTGGGCAAAGGGAAGAAACCAACAGCAGAATGTATTGAAAATGCAATTTCTCAAATTGGGCTGAAGTAATGCATTTTCCAGCTTTTGTGAATTCTAATACGTATGCAGTATGCCTATGCCATCTAAAATGACTGTCCACATTTTGATTCGAGAATGAGCCTCATTTTTAGAACCTTTCGCCTACTGTAATTATATCTTTTTGTTCACTGATATTGATACCATAAGTATGGACAGGCACAATGGTATCCAATTGAATATTATTTCTGACTTGCTATTGAATACCTTTAGTATCAAATTGTTCACTGATATTGATACCTTTTGTATCTTTTTGTTGAAGTTGTATGCCATAAAATAGTCCTTCTTTCTTGGTGTTCAACAATTCGCTGCGAAATGCGAGCCATTTATCTAGTAATTTATTATAGAGAGATCTAACATGAGTGTAAAAACAAAACCCTATTGCCTAAACAGAAAACCCCTTCAATTGACATAAGGACAAATACTGAAAGTAGCAAATGTGAAGTATGGATTATCCCTCACTATATACAACAAACTACGTAGAAAATTGCAAATTCTAACCAACGTCTGAAAGGCCTTATATCTCTATTTGAGTTTTTGTTAAATCAATAGACTATATAGAAGTTTCACCAAGCAAAACATCGAAAATTATAAACAAGATTCAGCTTTAAAGTAGCAAGCATCTAATTCCTATTATGCTCCACCAACCATATCCGGGAGCGGTTACGGTGCTAATTGTACAATCGTTAGCACCGTCCTAACTAAGGAAAAAACTACTACTAGTTTGAATTAGTAGTGATTTAGCTTAGATGTTGTATTGGTTTTATAATAATCCGTAGTGGTTTCGTTATTTTTAGTAACGTTTTTTGCTAATTATCACGATGCTAACCCCTATAAGCGTTAGCATCTAATCCCATCCCACCATATCCTGTTGTCTACCCCATTTCAGGATCTGTCTATTTTAAGAATGTTTATTGTTGCATCCTGATCCAAGCCATGTCCTGCACTTGCCACCTAAGAAAGTAAGAAGAGATAGTATTAGAAATGTACAAGAAGCATATTCATTTGTTTGGTGAACATATAGCAAGCATTAGTACATAACTTTTCTTTCAAACAACATTCGTAATAAGCATCTTTCGCACTCAACATCAAGAACCATATAATTCCCCTGAATTGCTAACATATAGGAGCGCCCTGTAATCAGTTGATAGATCTAGCTCCTCAAACAACCTCCCATGTGTCCAGCAAATGCACAAGTGACAAGTTCCAAATACCAAAAATCGAATAGAAAGATTGGTCACCACTGGAAGTTGATTTGTTTGTGCCTATACCTGCAGATCCTTTTTGGTCTGTCCATCAGCGGAGCACCAATTCAAGCACCAATTCAAGAGCTTCATGTCTGGTGATTTACATTAATTAAGAGGCAGAGGAGGAAATTAAACAAAGCCACACTACTACAGCCGGAGCTTAGACTAATTAAAAGGTAAATGAGGCAACGTGAGAGGCAGAGTAGAATAGAGAACCTACACAGCTAGCCGGGGATTGATGCAGAGGCCACTGACAGAAAGGAGATCTAACCGACGATGGATGATAGAAACCTATTTCTAGGGTTCTATCGATAGTGCTAGTGCTGGTTGATTGGGAATTTAAGGATTTGGGGAAATAATTAAGGATTCAGATTGAGGATTTGGGAAAGAAGAAGAACATAATTGGCCTAGGCCTTTAAAGGGATTGAGAATGAGAACTGAGAGGATAGGGAGATTAGAGTTTGGAAGACTTTTTCTTAATATTCTTCTTATTGATTCTTAAACGAATAACAAAGTACACTTATATAGAAAAGAGTCGAAAACCTAACAATAAACCTAAACTTAGCAACCAAATAATGATTTATTCTAATAATTATCTCTAATATGAATATGATAATTATAATAGAAACCCATCGAGAATAGGTTTCTATCATTCCCTCCCCTTGAGACCAACCTTGCCCTCAAGGTTGACCGACTTGTCTCACTTCTCTACCCTTCTTGTCCCAGCTAGGTGTCGTCTCCTCCACTTCTTACTCTTCCTCTTCTCACAATTTCGATCAAACATCCGGACTCGACGCATAGCACAAGTAGAAGTAGCTCCCCCCTTTACTGAAATTTCTTCCTTGTCGTAACTCCAGGCATCGAAATAATGAGCACCATATATGGTCCAAGTCTTTACTTGTGAACTCCACAAAGTAAAGACCCGCGAAGTGGTCTCGATCATTAACTACGAATCCTAAATCCTCCACTGAAGGCTTCGTAGCAACCGTAGTTACCTCCGCCGCACTTGTGACCTTCCATTAAACGCTTCTTCCTGCACCTTGTTCCTCACACAATGAAGGATACAGCCGCCCTTCCATTCCACACATGCAACCTCTTCCATTTTTCCAGCATCCATCTTGCCTTTTTAATGTCCGCCCCACGTCGCCATCTCCGCTATGAACATCCAAAAGCACCTCAAACATCTAACTACCAGCCCCCCTTACCAAACTCGACTGCCAAGAGCTAACAAATGCCAACAAGTGATGTTCCCTCCTAGCAGTTGCGCGTCCCATGGCACGGAGATGAGCGGCTCTGGTGTAGCTATGGCAAATGACCAATGTAAGATTGTTCCATTCTCCGCTTTACGCTGCTGTTCAAGCCGCTTCTCTATTTCTCTCTTTGAGAACTCTTGTCCTTGCGACATCACTTCTCCATCCCACCTCGTGGATAGTTTCACAAATTGAGGTTACACATGCATCCCAAGTAATTCAGGTCCACTAAAACTCAATTAGCCCATACTTGAGTTCGTGGCAAATCCCACACAATAATCCTACATTTCCAAGTATCGATTTGACCCGCAAGCACTCGGACTAGAACTGCAGACCTGATAGTCAATTCATCTTCTCTAACCTTTGGAGTTACTACTAGTAACGATGGCTGCCTCGACCTGGCAGTATGGTCGGGAACGCTGACGGCGACCCCAACTACTAGACTCGCCGTCAACTTCTCAGTAGCTTCTTGCTCCGAGTCTGATAGGAGTTCGCCCGGTGGAGGCCTTCGTCTCGATCATTGCTAGGGCCCAATCATTCGCACCCTCTTCTTTCTGTTCGGCTGTTCTGCCGTTACCATTGTTGTGGTCTGCCCGCCCCGACCTGTGCTAGGGCGGGTAGAACCTGACCCGTCCTAGAACGGGACGGATCTTGACCCGACCCGCGAGCAGAACAGGACAGCAATGGGTAGGCACCTTTACCCGCCCCGCCGTCTCTCTATTATCATACGACCGTCCAGTCCCCAAATACCAATCCTCTCCAAATTAGTTAGATATCCAAATCCTTTCGTTTCCATAGCTTCCTTTCTCTTCTCCCCATCCTCTGCCGAAACAATCGATGCCATCAATGCGAAAGACTCCTCGTATCCTTGAAATTTTGGGGATTTCCAAGCCAAACAAGCGTGATTCAAAGTTTAAAATCGAGATGGAAATAGGTTTTAGGTATATTTCGTCGATTCGGTATCCTCCCCTTCCCAATCAAATTCTAGACGAGTACCATATATTCTTCTCATCTTCCTCTTTTTTCTATCATTGTCTTCCTCTGAAGCCGCAACCCTCAGTCATTCCTACTTGCCACTGAGTTGCCAGCATCCACTATCCAATCGCTAGCTCTTCCTTGGCAAGTTTCGCCTTATCCAGGTATATTGCAAAAGCTCTTTCTTTTGGGTTCTAATCCTGTGTTTGCGTAATTGTGTGCTGTAATTGGTTGCTTACTTGCTGGCTTGCTACTACATTTATTTGGATTTTTAATAATATGTGTTCACATGGCGAAATGGATGTTAAGTGGCTTCCTGCTATTTCATTATATCACAATTGAGAATAAGATAACATGGGTAATAAACTAAGAATGGGTTGCTGCTGTAATCTATATTCCTAATCATTGTACGTGAGAGTGAAATATCTACTCATTAACCGGGATGCAGGAACTCAAGGTGCAGAGGCAACATTTTCTCATAACCCCATTCATGGCCTTTCCACTCTAGCAATTGCTCGATCACAACCACCATTTTATTTTCTTACTTCCCATTTAATAATTGATTGCTTTTGTACGTTATTTATCCAAAATACTTGGATTATATACACTTAACAGTTAGCACTCAGCTGAGGATAATTTTTTTTTTTTTTTGCATATGACTAATGATGTTGTGTTTTACTTGTTGTTTTTATAGATGACAGTTCAAGGGCAACAAGGTGATGTTGCAGTTCCAAATACAGATAAAAATCCGTCTCAACCTGCTTCACCTACGATTATGCAAGTTGTTGCTGAGGTTGAAGGTGAACCGACCCCCCTGAACCTACAAATACTTGCCAAGAGCGTATAGGTGGAACAACTCGTAAAGTTTACTCTAAGTGGTGGCAACATTACAATAAATTAATTGTTGGCAATGAGCTAAAGGCGGAGTGCTAGTATTGTAAGAAGCATCTTCTTGAAGACCCATAGCAAGGAACCAACCATCTGAAGAATAATTACCATAGATGTCCTAAAGTGCAGCGACCTATGGAATATGGATATAAGGCAACAAGTTTTACATGGAAATATGAGCAAGGAAAAATTCCAGTTGACACCTTTTAACTTCAATCAAGGTGCTTCTCGAAAAGAACTTGCTAAGGTAATAATCAAGCATGAGTATCCTCTAAGGATTGTTGATCATGAAGGTTTCAGGAGTTTCTGCATGAGTTCGAACCCCTGTTTCAAGATGGTGACAAGAAATACCATCAAGAAGGATTGCATGCTCATATATGATGTTCACAAGCAAGGAGTTATGCAACCTTTGGAGAGGAACGAAGGTCGGGTTGCAATAAATACAAACATGTGGACATCTTCTCGGAATATGGGATTCATGGTTGTGACCGTACATTACATTGACAACAACTGGAGTTTGCAAAGTTTAATTATTAGGTATTTCCTTTTATCTTTTGTGGCCTAGTTTCTGTTATGGAATAATTATGTGCTATTGGAATCATTTTGAGATGTCAGATTACTACAATTTTACAAAAATCGTTAAGATTTACACTGAAACCCAACTGAGCTTGTTTTGATTAGCAGGATGAAACTCCTGATATAACACAGCAACAAGCCATGTGAACACATATAATACATCAGCTTAAATTATATATCCTTGATATAATACAGCAGCAGTAGGCTAGTAAGCAATAGCTAAACATCTTTAATTGTTGTGATGTTGTTGCTGTGGTGGTGTTGATATTTGCTGCTGGTGATGGGGGATTGAATGGGCTTATGTCAAAAGATGGTATGTTACTGTTTTTTGCATCTTTGGGGTTTCTTGCAGTGTTTGGTGGTGGTTGTATTGCTTCTTCATTATTGTTCTTTGCATTTTCTCCCTCCTTTGAAACAAGCACATCTGACTGTGTCTTCTCAATGTCATCTCCTTCCTGATCTTGATCCATTTCATTTGCCTTTCCTTCATCTCCTTTTTTGTTGGCCTCCTAGTTTACATTCTCTGGAACTGAACTTCGTTGGTTCTTCTCAGCAGTTTCAGCAAGATTCTCTGTTGTAATGTTGTTGGTGCTTCTGTTTGATGTTGAGCTTCTGGTTTTGTTGGAGAACCATCTTGATTCTTCCTTTTCTTCCATTGTGTTAGTCCAGCTAGATCCACTGTTGTTTGTTGAGAATCATCATTTTCTTCAGATTCATTGACTATGGTTGCTTTCCTTTTGTCTGATTTTACCTTGTCAAAAAATTTCTTCAGAGTTTCTTCCAGGTTTGTGGCTGCTTCTTTATCTTCATCATCATACTCAATTCCTTCCTTTTGTTCGACAATCACGTCATCAGATCTTTCTCCTTCCACACCATCAAAGTTGTCATCATAAGTTTGTTGCTCCAACATTTGCTTGTGTTTGACAAGCTCATCAATTTGAGCTTTGTATTGCATCTTGATTGATTGCAACATAGCTTTCATCGATGTTTTCACCAGATTCAGTGCTCTCTCAGCCTGCATTAGTGATTTTTGGTATGTAAGTTAATGTTTATTGTAGAATACCACATGTTACCATGGCGGTAATGGATGGTATGTTCATTATATAGTACAATACCATATGTTACCACCATGGTTCATGTGTGGAATTAGTTATATGAATTGCACAATTTGTAATATATGGTAATTTATACTTACTTGGGGGATAGTCTTGATCATCTTCAAATCAAATATGAGTGATGTTGATGGTTGTTGGTCTGTATTGTTGTCATCATCATCACTGTTGGTGTCATCGATCTTCTCTTCTTTATCATGTATCTTCATGAGCTCATGAAGTGCTTCTCCACTGTAGTAGCTTACTATGTTTTCATAGTTTCTTTGCACAGCAAGGTCGTCATAATAGTTTGTTGTTGGGATTTGAAACTGGGTGGAGAAGACCATTTCATCCAACTTGTACATGAAGCATACCTTTTATTTGTTTGTGGGAATGAGAAACAGTTGTATTAGTATTGATGTACTAGGATTTGTAATGCTTTAGGGTATACTAATTGAAATGAAATTATTGAGGGTATAGATACTTACAGTTAAGAAATGAAGATCTGCAGTGATGTACAAGTTTTTTGATTTCAACCCCTCATTCATATAGTCGAAGAAGAACTTGCACCAATTGTATTCTTTGAAATGCTTGATTTTGCCTGGCTACAAGTACTTCAGCACATTCAACTCAGCAGTAGGGTTTGAAAATGGGGACAGTAGAGCTCCCGTAACCAGCAACCAGAACAGTTTGATCCATACTTCAATGGTATGAGCATTAGAAACGTCATGCTCTACGTTAGCTAATTTCACCCTTCCATTTGTAGCTAGAGCTTCTAGTTCTAGTAGGACCTGCAACGCATAGTCTACTGCTTCGTCCAGTGATAATTTCTTGAGCGTCACTTCCTTTTTACCCATTGGTAGACCATAAACTCTATGAAAGTCAATTGACGATATCTTCATGTAGTTTCCACCAGGCATCTTGAATGATTGCTTTGTTGGATTGTACTTGTTCATTGTGAATAGTGCAAAGTTCTTGTTTATCTTTGTTTGCTGGATGGATGTTAAGCCATCAAGGCCTAATTCCTGCAATTTTGCCCTCTGTTCAGGTGTTAAGGTCCTTGAAAGTGTGTTGATTCTTGTTGGGCTGCACTTTGTGCTAAAATCTTCCCTATGTCTTGACATGATGTACCTTCATCCAGAATAGAAGAATTTTTATATCATACCATACCATACCATACCATACCATACTATAATACTATGTAGTTACCATACCATACCATACCATACTATATCATATTCAACCAGTAAGCAATATAGCGTACAACACATCAAATGTTGTTGAACAAGTTTTCAAGTGATCTTACCTCACCATACCATATGGTATTATGGAAAATGGAAGCATAGCAACAGTTTTTGTTTTGGAAAAACTATAATAATATATAGTTACCATATGGTATCAGTGTGGTATTGTAAAAACATCAGTGCATATAATAGGTTTTTTGTTGTTTTTATACTTTTCTAGAAATTGTATTTAACTGTAAGTACTTTGACCAGTACGTGGGTGGTTTCTCTTTAGAATACCATATGGTACCAGTGTGGTATTGTAAGAAAATCATAGCATAGAATAGGTTTTTATAATTTTCCTGTAAAATCTTTTTCATTCCAAGTACTTTGACCACTACTGGAAGGGTTTCTCCTTAGAATACCATATGGTACCAGTGTGGTATTGTAAAAAAATCTGAGCATAGAATAGGTTTTGTTGTCGTTTATATACTTTTCTATAAAATGTATTTCACTGTAAGTACTTTGACCACTGCTATTACTTTTTTCCCTTAGAATACCACATGGTACCAGTGTGGTATTGTGAAAACATTAAGCATAGTAGAGTTTTTCGTTTGGTATTTGTGAAGTATGTACTTGAAATTAGACATGTAGAATCACGAATCTAGTTTTTGAAGAAAGAACTTATGATATACCTTGATCGTTGAAGACGTCGAAGTTGGAAACCCTAACTTTGTCGCTGAAGACGTCGAAGTGGAAACCCTCACTTGATCGCTGTATAATTGAGATCAGTATCCTTTGCTAAGCAAACTGAAAATTCGAGATTCGACTTCGACGGTGCAGTTTGCGAAGATGAATCATACTTTCATTCATCAAAAGAGAGTATGTGGGAAGCTGCTCTGCCAATCGATTCATCATAGCATCATTTGTTGAGCAACAAATTTGGAAGCAAAATAAGGTAGAGAAACCTGCTAGTATGCCAAAGATAGGCGGATGAAACTAGTGTTTGTTTCCTAGTGTTGCGCAAATTAAAAATAGGATTTGGGCGGATTGATTCCTCTAGGCTAGTTTGAGGATGATTTGGAAACAAGACCCACTACTAAAGCTCTTAAAACTTCAGCTATGCTTTTTCGCTCTGCATTTACGCTATCCATTCTCTCTCTCTCTCTCTCTCTCTCTCTCTCTCGCATTTCATCTTCGCAAACTGCACCGTCGAAGTCGAATCTCGAATTTTTAGTTCGCTTAGCAAAGGATACTGATCTCAGTTAATCAGCGATCAAGTGAGGGTTTCCACTTCGACGTCTTCAGCGATAAAGTTAGGGTTTCCAACTTCGACGTCTTCAACGATCAAGGTAAATCATCACTTCTTTCTTCAAAAACTAGATTCGTGATTCTACATGTCTAATTTCAAGTACATACTTCACAAATACCAAACGAAAAACTCTACTATGCGTAATGTTTTCACAATACCACACTGGTACCATGTGGTATTCTAAGGAAAAAATGTTCTAGCAGTGGTCAAAGTACTTACAGTGAAATACATTTTATAGAAAAGTATATAAACGACAACAAAACCTATTCTATGCTCTGATTTTTTTACAATACCACACTGGTACCATATGGTATTCTAAGGAGAAACCCTTCCAGTAGTGGTCAAAGTACTTGGAATGAAAAAGATTTTACAGGAAAATTATAAAAACCTATTATATGCTCTGATTTTCTTACAATACCACACTGGTACCATATGGTATTCTAAAGAGAAACCACCCACGTACTGGTCCAAGTACTTACAGTTAAATACAATTTCTAGAAAAATTATAAAAACAACAAAAAAACCTACTATATGCACTGATTTTTTTACAATACCACACTGATACCATATGGTAACTATATAGTATTATAGTTTTTCCAAAACAAAAACTGTTGCTATGCTTCCATTTTCCATAATACCATATGGTATGGTGAGGTAAGATCACTTGAAAACCTGTTCAACAACATTTGATGTGTTGTACGCTATATTGCTCACTGGTAGAATATGGTATAGTTTAGTATGGTATGGTATGGCATGGTATGTTATAACAATTCTTCTATTCTGGATGAAGGTACATCATGTCGAGACATAGGGAAGATTTTCGCACAAGGTGCAGCCCAACAAGAATCAACACACTTTCAAGGACCTTAACACCTGAATAGAGGGCAAAATTGCAGGAATTAGGGCTTGATGGCTTAACATCCATCCAGCAAACAAAGATAAACAAGAACTTTACCTTATTCACAATGAACAAGTACAATCCAACAAAGCAATCATTCAAGCTGCCTGGTGGAAACTACATGAAGATATCGCCAATTGACTTTCATAGAGTTTATGGTCTACCAATGGGTAAAAAGGAAGTGACGCTCAAGAAATTATCACTGGACGAAGCAGTAGACTATGCGTTGCAGGTCCTACTAGAACTAGAAGCTCCAGCTACAAATGGAAGGGTGAAATTAGCTAACGTAGAGCATGACGTTTCTAATGCTCATACCATTGAAGTATGGATCAAACTGTTCTGATTGCTGGTTACGGGAGCTCTATTGTCCCCATTTTCAAACCCTACTGCTGAGTTGAATGTGCTGGAGTACTTGCAGCCAGGCAAAATCAAGCATTTCAAAGAATACAATTGGTGCAAGTTCTTCTTCGACTATATGAATGAGGGGTTGAAATCAA